TCTCCACCTTTGAAAGGATGCAGCACAAAAAATTGCAATGATTGATCATCTCTGTAATACAATTAACAAAGAGCCAGCTTATTCACATATCTTGAAGAACCACTCTGAGCCAACTGCATATCTGTTTTTTTACTTATACAAATTATTGTTTTATTTTTTATGCCTAATTCTTCTTCAGGACACTAAAAACAGTTTATCCTATGGATTGCAATTTCTGATCAGAACCTACCACCAGAGAGAGTGATAATAATGGGTCCCATTTTAATGAGACTTCTATCAACTGACATTTTCAATTGATACCATTTTTTAACTTTTGAGAAATTTAAGAATTTTTGCTAGTTACATGCTTATGGGCTTTACTATATCTGTAATGTCAGTGCTTCCCTTTTTTTTTTTTTTTAATTCCCCACTGGTCAACAGGGAGATCTGTACACATTTGGGGATATACAATTATCAGCTAATACTCTGAGTGAATTTTTTTACCTTCAGATACTTGATTTTTCCCATTATAGAAACGAAAGTTCATCTGTAAAGGCATACAATGTTAAATAGGTAATCAATTTTTAATCAGGCACAAGGAACTCTCTTAAATAATCATTGATTTTTTTTTTTTTACTTCATTGTTTTCCCAGGATGATAATCCAGGCTATTAGGACGTACAGAAAAGCCAAGAGAATTTTGCTATTGTCTGAAAACAACTAGATTTTATGTCTTTGGGAAGATTTAGAAAGGAGGTATGATTATGCACATAAATCCATAATCAGTGACCAAGGTGGTCACAATACAATGATGTTCTGTGTTTAAAGACTTTTAGTACATATCCCTTCATATAACCTTAAAGCATAACCAAAGAGTGTAAAGATTGGGTTATCCAGTAGGGAAGACTGTTCAAGATTGGAAACCATTTAGACTTCAGTTAACCTTCCTCTGGAATTCAGTAACCAAGATCTTTGTAATTCATTCAGTTCATCTGTTTTGATAAGTAATTCAGATTAGTCAAGGGAAAATAGCCTCTAAATAGAACAGAGCAATGTTTTTATACAAAACATCAGGTTAAACACAATCACTTATCCATTTACCATGCATTTTAATGTATTTTCTATTTATTTTTATTGATAAGTGTATTTCCACAAACTAGAGACATTATTATGGTTGCATATCATCTCAGTCCCTCCCTCACTGAGATAATAACTGTTGTAATATTTCAACTACATCAGATACTTGTTTCAAATTATCATACTTTAGATTCCATCAGTCAGTTATCATTCAACTGAGAATCATTTTTTTTAATGAACACTAGTTTAAATAATGTGATTGTCATTTTTTTTAGACTTAAGTCCTATACACTGAATAAATTCACGGGCCAGAAAGGTGTATGACTAAATGCTATTACTTAACAAAATAATTATTCAGCAAGTACTTTTGCAGCTAGTTAAAATGATTGTGGAAGGTCTCATCTCTCCCATAACTATCAACATCTGGAACCAGAATGGTACGTACAGTCATTACAAATGATGGACCTACATTGACACATTATTATCACCCGAAGGCTATAGTTTAAATTAGGGTTCATTCTTGATGTTACACATTTTATGGTTTTTGACAAATGTATAATGACATGTAGCCACCATTGTAAATATCATATAGAATAGCCTCACTGCCTTAAAAATCCTCTGTGCTCTGCCTATGTATGTACCATGGTATTCCAATTATTTTTTTTTTAAAGATTTTATTTATTTACTTGAGAGAGAGAGAGAGAATGAGAGATAGAGAGCACGAGAGGGAAGAGGGTCAGAGGGAGAAGCAGACTCCCTGCTGAGCAGGGAGCCCGACGTGGGACTCGATCCCAGGACTCCAGGATCATGACCTGAGCCGAAGGCAGTCGCTTAACCAACTGAGCCACCCAGGCGCCCCCCAATTATTTTTTAAGTGTTCCTGCCCTAATGCTCTGAAATATAATTAATGCTAATTATCTTTTGTGGAAAACAAAGAAAATGTCAAACAAATCTTTCCCCAAGATAATTCCCTTGAGTTTCCCAAGGTAACTCCTTAATTCACTATTCTTCTTCATAGACATTTCAAAAATGTATTTCTAAGACTACCGCTTCCACTGTCTCATGTTCTTTTCCCTCAAACATTTAGACTGTTGACCCACCACTCCACTGAAGTGTACCTGCCATGTCTTGCCAAATCTAACTATGGTTTCTCTGTATTCATTTTACCAGAGCTCTGAAAATTCAGATCAGTTGAACTCTTCTTTCTTGATACATTCTCTCTCTCTGAATGCAATATACTATACTCACTTACTTTGCCTCCAACTTCACCTTTCCAGGAATTTTTGTATTATCTTCTCCATAATTTGACCCCAATCTCAGAGCATTGTTTTTGACCTTCTGATGTTCTTTATCTTCACCCTTTTATTGATGTCTAGTCAACTGTCTACTTGATAATTCAATTTTTATCTTTAATAGTCACCAGAAATTTAGTATTCCCCACAAAGAGTCCATGACCCCTCCCAACACCAAATGTATTCTTCCAATATCCCAATCTCATGGCTCAATAAAAATTAAATTACACCCTTCCCCTGGAGCATATCTCCATAGGCTTCCCATTGCATTTAGAATATCCTGCAATAAACTATTCTCTCTGACATCACCTCCTACCATTTTCTTTCTCATTTTCCATATTCCAAACACAGTGACTCTTCAGCAGTCAGACCAAGTTGTCTCCCTCCTTAAGACCTTTGCCATTGTACTGCTGACGCCTCTTTCTGGAAATTGCAGCAGGAATGCTTGAATCCTTCTCTTCATTCAAGTTTTAATGAAAGTGCCATCTCCTCAGATGTCTTCTCTGACCACTCAATTTAAAATTAACTCCCCCAGGGGCTCCTGGGTGGCTAAGTTGATTAGGCACCTGCCTTCAGCTCAGGTCATGATCTCAGGGTCCGGGATTGGGCTCCCTGCTGAGCAGGGAGTCTGCTTCTCCCTCTCCCTCTGCCTCCTCCCCCCTGCTAATGCACTCTCTCTTTCTCTTTCTTTAAACTAAATAAAATTTTTTTAAAAATAAAATTAACTCCCCCAATTAACAAATAGGTTTATTCAACTTATTGATTTTTATTGTTTTTCAAGTATTCATTACCAGAATTTAATATATTTATTTCAGAATTTAATTGCTATTGTGTGCCTGTCACACACAAAAAAAAACAGTAAGTGAAAAAAATGAAAAAAAAAAACAACAAAGTAGAATAGCTTTCTAAACTGAGATTTCTGGTAGAATATATATTTCCTCTCCATGTCTAAGGACCATAAAGATAAATGGCACAAACTCAGCCATAAAAAAAAGAAGGCAATTCTGTCATTTGCAAAAACATAAATCAACTTAGAGGGCATTTTGCTAAGTGAGATAAGCCAGACAGAGAAAAATAAATGGTATCACTCATGTGTGGAAGCTAAAACAAAACAAAAGGCAATTTCATAGAAACAGACAATAGAATGGTGTTGGCCAGGGGCTGCAAAAAAGGGAAAATGGAGTGACGTGGTTGGTTCAAAGGGTACAAATTTTCATTTATAAGTTCTGAGGAACTAATGTACAACATGGTGACTATAGTCAGTAACAGTTGTATGCTTTAAAGTTGTTGAGAGAAGATCTTATACACTCTTAATGTTGTCCAAACCAACCTCTGTGCTCCAGAGCTGAAATATAAGATTGTTATAACATATATGTATATTATATATAATATAAGGAGTTTGAGGATTAAGAGGAAAAACAGAGGGGCACCTGGTGGCTCAGTGGGTTAAGCATCTGCCTTTAGCTCAGGTCATGATCTCAGGGTCCTGAGATGGAGCCCCGCCTTGGGCCCCTGCTCAGCTGGGAGTCTGCTTTTCCCTCTCCCTCTGCCCTCCCCACCCCACCCCCATTCATGCTCTCTCTAATAAATAAATAAAATCTTTAAAAAAAGTAAGAGGAACAATAGTTTTATTACTTTGCCACTAGGCAAAGGAGGCTGTAGCAGGCTAATGCCTTCAAAACTGCAGACCCACTGGGGTAACAGGCTGAGGGGTTTTGTAGGAAAATACAGGACCTGGGTGGTTTCGATAGGAATCTGGTAGGTGCTGCCAAATGCACACGTCATGATTTCGAGGTGGTTTCATGACTAGCACTGGCACTGGCCATATGAGTCTCCTTACTAAGTATACATCGGGGTCAGTGAAATGTATCAAGAGTAAGTTTCTGGATCAAAGGACTCTCAGATAAACAAGTGAAGGGGAGGGGCAAACTTCAAGAATAAGGAAGAGAAAAATTTGTTCGTTTAAAATCAAGCCTTGCTGAAGCACTACTGTGTCCATCCATCTTTATGTTTCCATAGTGGTTTCATTACCACACACATGTAAAAAAAGTTAACCATGTAAGGTGATAGACATGCTGTTTATCTTGATCTCTTCCACAATGAATATGTACATCAAATCATCATGTTCTACACTTTAAATGTATACCATTATATTTGTCAATTATTCTTCAATAAAGTTTAAAAAAAGGAATTACCTATCATATCTTTAAGAAACCAAATCAATGGTTACCAGAGGGGAGATGGGTAAAACAGAAATTAAGGAACACACTTGTGATGAGCACCGGGCGATGTATGGAAGAGTTGAATCACTCTATTGTACACCTAAAACTCATAGTACACTGTATGTTAACTAACTGAAATTTAAATAAAAACCAAAAAATTCAAATCAAACCAACAACAATAATAATAATAATAACAAGTAGAGATGAAGTTTGTATTGTTCATAAGCTCTTATGGAAGCTGGGTTCTTAAGTAAGCATACACTGTAATTAGGAAATAAGTTTTGTTTTAGAGGCACATGGCACTACACCAACAGAGTCCTGAATACATTGGTTACAAAGAATTCTTCAGATTTTTTTAAAAAATATCCGTTTGTTTGGAAATGAGTCAGTCCTGCCGGTGGTCTTCTCACATACCACTCAGGTTGTATAAAATGCCCTGTGGAGATTATGAAATTCAAACTCAAGGAACTGATTCTGCTCAACTGAACCCTCCACTCCTGACACCATGTGCTACTATGGCAACTATTATGGTGGCCTGGGCTATGGGTACAGTGGCCTGGGTTGTGACTATAGATGTGGTTGTGGTGGCTGTGGTTATGCCCATCGTCCACGCTGCTTTGGAAAATACTGTTGTTCTGGCTTCTACTGAGCTGTTCTAGTTTGCTGATCGCTTGAATAGTTCCTGTTACTTATATAAAGATTCTCTATCATATTGGCATTATTTTCTATTCTGACATTAATACCTAAATCCTAGGCCACTTATGATAAAAGAGTTACCAACTCATGAATTATCTAGAATATCCAATGATTTTGTGGGGTAAAAATACCCATTCATTTTTGTATGTTTGCCCAAATCCAATCTTGGGAAAATTCTGATTTTATTTATTATTTGTTTATTTTTTATTAAATGTAAGTTCATTTGCAAGTGTATAGTATGTTTTTTACATATATTCATTTATCTTCATCACTTCTGAGTGTAAGAATGTGTGTGTGTGTGTATGTGTGTGTGTAGCTGCATAGCTGCTATTTTTCTATCAACAAAAGTCTGCCCCAAAAACATGAATTTTCATTGGCACTTGAAGGGACAAAGGCATCATTCTGAGAACTTGAACAGCTTGCAAGAGGAAACCATCCAGCATGACTGAAATGGATGCAGAGCTTTTACTGATGAGGCACCAACAAGCATCTTCTAGAGTTTTCTCTTTGCACCACTCAGGTGCAGGCATATCTCATGTTATGTTCAATCTCTTCTATCGCCACTTCTTAAAGACAATAGCTGGTCATGAATTCTCAAAAACAAAACCAAATCAAACAGCAACAAAAAGATTAGTTGGACAAACTAAAGTCACTGTCAGCTACAAATTGGTTTCTAAGCAGTAATTGATATTCATCATCTCTGTCCTTTATTACCCATTCTACATAGGTCCTCATAGTTTGCTGGCACTTCTGCTGGTCTAGGTAGCTACAACTATATTCCTGAGAAGTCTGAGCCCTCTTCTCAGTTCTTGCGCCCTTATACAGCAGTCCTTTGGGAATGGAAGCAGCCCCAATAAATCCTGCAAATTTCTGACATGTCTCTTCAAACTCCCACTATACAGCAGAACTATATCTCTTCACAGTAATCAATACTGTAATTAATTTCTCTGCTGATCTACTGGTATGTGGAGCCCACTGTTATCAGGTAGGCAAAAACTCTATAGCAATTTATTAAGTGGGTCCCAGGGAGTGATGGTGAAAGAGAATAATTTTCTTCAACAGATTTTTTTTCCAGATCTCTATATTCTAGATTTTAGGGACAGGGTAGCATTGGTTAAAAACATATTCTACATTGTAGAAATAATACCAAATGTCACAGAGTATAATCCTCAGCTCATTCATTAGCTGCATTTTAAGAAGCCGTTTCAACTGGTTGCTGTGATATGTGCTAAGATGAACAGATCTCATAACCACGGATGCATTATTTCATCTTCTTCTCAGAAACAGTCTCAGTCCACAGCAATGTTGTGCAGGATTCTGTGATGATAAATAAGCCACCACATATCTCAGAGACTGGTGATGGTCATGTCCCTGTGGACAGTAAAGAAAGCCCATACCTAAATATCTACCATTCTTATTAAATAGCAACTTCCATCTATATGGAAGGAGTCTGATAAAATCAACTTGCCATCAAAAGCTGGTTGGAATCCTCTAAGTGTGGTGTCCCATTAAAGGTCAGTGAAATCCTTTGATGCTTGCAGATTAGATATTCCAACTCCAATCCGTTTTGTAAAAGGAGACCCATCTCTGCTACTATGGTAATTCTGTTTTTGAGCTTCACTTGAACATGTGCTGGTATTACAGATAACAGAAGCTGTTAGACATTTCCTAGCTGAGTCACTGTCCACCTGGTTGTTTTGTACAACCTTCTCTGATATAGATACACTATGGTGAAAATTGACATCAAACTCAAATATCTACATAATTTTTATCCACTCTGATATGTCCATCTACACAATTCCTCCCCAGATCTGTTTAAGCATACTCTTTCTGACCCCTGAAAAACTAGCCAAACTATTAGTAACTGACCCTTGAAAAACTAGCCAAACTATTAATAACTGTCCAGATGTCTTTGTATGTTCTTACCTCAGACCACATCTCCCTCCACATAAAATTAATGATTGGGTATACTGCATGAAAGTTCTGCCTACTGGGGACATTTCCCCTTACTATTCATTCTCAGAGCAATCCTTAGTGCAACAGCAGTCCATTTTCAGGCTAATTCCAACATATTGAGAAGACCCATCCATGAACCATGCCTAGGTATATTCTTGCTCTGCCATTTAGTCATCGGAACATCCCCATGGGGCTGTAACAGTGAGCTTACAGAAAGGCTTTAGTGCTACAGTTAGGCTTTAGGCTAGATAAGGCTTTAGGTAGGTAACAAGTGCAACTCCTTCATTACCTTAGCACCTGCTCTAACTGACTCTGAATCTATACTACCACTTAACATTAGATTCCTGCTGCTAAGTCTACCAGAATTTACAGCTTGGTGGATCTGAGAGAACCCAGTCATGAAGGTCAGCACCATCGTCATTTGATGTTGCATAGTGACAGATGTTCAGTCTCTGCTTGGGTCCATTAGTATGCCAGGAGCTTCTTTTTGAGCTGTGAATATATTCTGCCACAATATGGCCTTGCTCCAGAAACCTAGCAATCTGTGCTGCAACTCGCACATGGGAGTTTGCCAAAAACTGAATTCTGCAGGAGGAACAATAATGAATCAAATGTGTATATGATGGGTATCACAATTCCTATATCCTTTAAGTCTTTAATGGTGGCAATAATCTGTCATTCTATGCTGTGATGGTTACTTTTATGTGTTAACTTGACTGGGCTCATGGAAGCCCAGATAGCTAGTAAAACATTATTTTTGGATGTGTCTGCAAGGATGTTTCTAGATGAGATTAACATTTGAGATCATAACCTAAATAGAGAAGGTCACCCTCACCAAAGTGAATGGGCACCTTCCAATCTGTTGAGGGCAGAAATAGAAGAAAAAAAGCAGAAAAGAAGCTAATTTTTTCTCTGCCTGTATCAGGACACCCCTCTTCTCCTGACCCCAGACATTGGTGCTCCTGGTTCTCAAGGCCTCCAGACTCAGACTGAATTACACCACTGGTTTCCTGGTTCTCCCGCTTATAGATGGCAGACTGTGGGACTTCTCAGCCTGCATAATCATGTGAGACAATTCCTGTAATGAACCCTCCCTTCTCTCTTTCTATATATTTCTTCAGGGCCTCCCATTTGAACATTCCCACTGTAATTTACTGGTGAGGGAACCATGTAAAGATTTAGTTAGCTTCTATGTATATCCATGCTATTTATGCCCACAAGACTGCATAAATTACTACACACTGGGTTTATGGGACCATTAATCCCATTTTGAGATATATTTGGACCAGAACTCTGATTGGCATCTGGTCTTTGTGTGTCTTCAACCTAGTAAGAGGTAATTCTTGTATTTGGGGTCTCTATACAAATCTGAGCTCAGATCCCACTCTAAAAACTTGTTCTCTTTTCCTAGTATTCAGTTACTCTGATAAATTCCCAAAGTCCCTTCAAAAAGAAATTGGAAATATATCCCTTTAGAAAGAAATTAGTTGGATAGATAGATGATAGATGGGTCAATAGACAGATAGATATGTCTCGCACACTTTCTCAATGGACCCAAAATTCAGGAAGGAGAACCATGAGCAAATAGGTGATGGGAGGAATCATCATATATTGAGAGCAGTGGCATATATATAACATGTAAGGAGGGGAAGGCATAGAATTTCTGATAAATATTTCCAAACTTCATCCTTGCACTCTGCAATGTCTTTACTCAAGAAGTGGCACAGTGGTGTATTTCTAGAAGCCCCATAATGGGATGTTAAAAACTGCTATTTCATTTTTCCTGGCTGCATAGCCTTTCCAAAAAATCTGATAAAGCTAATTCCTTTATGTATTCAATATCTGATATTTTTTCTATTGTTGACAATCAGCAACCTTGACTGATTCAACATTGCTATAAAGTATATATACTAAATATGCAATCAAAAAAGAACATAGCATTTATATTGACTTTAGGATCAAAAATATGATCATAAATAACTTCAATTCACCAAGCTACTATCTTCAGAAAAGAAGGGAATATGATAATAATGCTGTAAAAAATCTGTAATGATTCAAGAAACCAATAGAAGTTACTGTAAATAGTTATTGCTATCCATTAGCAAGAATCTTGAGAGTATTTCTTCATGCTATTTGATAAGACTGAATGAAAGAAAAAGTAAATAGATTAAAATTATGTATATAAGAAAGAAAGAGAAAAATTCACCTAGGGAGAAAATAGAAAGAATCTGAAGTAGAACATCACTAACATCTAGCATAGATCAGCAAAACAGCCACAATAAACATAAGCAATAAAATACTTTATACAGTGTTAGAAATGACTACCTCCACTTGCCCACACCATAAGGTCTTCCTTGAGAATAATAGATATTGCTGGGGTGCCTGGGCACCTCAGTTGGTTAAGAATGCGACTCTTTGTTTTGGCTCAGGTCATGATCTCAGGGTGATGAGATCGAGCCCCTCATTGGGCTCCACTTGAGCCTGCTTGAGATTCTCTCTCCCTCTCCCTTTACCCCTCCTTCTGCTCTCTCTCATTCACTCTCTCTCCCTAAAATAAATAAATCTTGGTCTTCCTCGGCCTGCGCTGCCGCCGACGCCGCTGTGGGCCTGGCTGCGCTCCGTCCGCTCCGTCGCCTTCTTCCCTAAGCGCTGCCAGGCCGGCCGCTGTGGCAAACGTGGCCGACACCAAGCTATACGACATCCTGGGCGTCTCGCCCGGCGCCAGCGAGAACGAGCTGAAGAAGGCATACAGAAAGTTAGCCAAGGAATACCATCCTGATAAGAATCCAAATGCTGGTGACAAATTCAAAGAAATCAGTTTTGCATATGAAGTACTGTCAAATCCTGAGAAGCATGAATTATATGACAGATATGGAGAACAAGGTCTTCGGGAAGGTAGCGGTGGAGGTGGTGGCATGGATGATATTTTCTCTCACATTTTTGGTGGGGGATTGTTCGGCTTCATGGGCAATCAGAGTAGAAGTCGAAATGGCAGAAGAAGAGGAGAAGACATGATGCATCCACTTAAAGTGTCTTTAGAAGATCTGGATAATGGCAAGACAACCAAACTACAACTTAGCAAGAATGTACTCTGTAGTGCATGCAGTGGCCAAGGTGGAAAGTCTGGAGCTGTTCAGAAGTGTAGTGCTTCTCGGGGTCGAGGTGTACGCATCATGATCAGACAGCTGGCTCCAGGAATGGTACAACAGATGCAGTCTGTGTGTTCTGACTGTAATGGAGAAGGAGAGGTAATTAATGAAAAGGACCGCTGTAAAAAATGTGAGGGGAAAAAGGTGATTAAAGAAGTCAAGATTCTTGAAGTCCACGTAGACAAAGGCATGAAACATGGACAGAGAATTACATTCACTGGGGAAGCAGATCAGGCCCCAGGAGTGGAACCAGGAGACATTGTTCTTTTGCTACAAGAGAAGGAACGTGAGGTGTTCCAGAGAGATGGGAATGACTTGCACATGACATATAGGATAGGACTTGTTGAAGCTCTATGTGGATTTCAGTTCACATTTAAGCACCTTGATGGACATCAGATTGTGGTGAAATACCCCCCCGGAAAAGTAATTGAACCAGGATGTGTCCGTGTAGTTCGAGGGGAAGGAATGCCACAGTATCGTAATCCCTTTGATAAAGGTGATCTCTACATAAAGTTTGATGTGCAGTTTCCTGAAAACAACTGGATCAACCCAGACAAGCTTTCTGAGCTAGAA